ATCTTAATTAAAATAATTTTAACTATATATTTATATATTTATTTTCATAGCTATAATTTTAAACACAAATTGTATTATTATAGTTACGAATTGGTTATCTATAGTTAGGTACATTGTTTAAAAATAAAATATATTTATAATTAAAATTTACACATAATATTGTGAATGTGAACAAAAAAAATATTACAAGTTCACCACATTTACCCAGTGTTCTTTATATAAGTGTATTTATTTTTTACAAATATTTTTACTTAAGAAATTGTAGTACTTTCATTTCTTAAAAATACTGTATGAATGTTACAGTTAAATTATGTATATTGTCATGTAGATATGTAAGCTGGAATCCGAACCCAAATTAACAATTCTAAACTAAATCCATAGACCACAATTCAATATCCATAATCCCTACAGCACAGTTTAACTTTGAATATTGTGTTGTTATATTACCTATTCTTCACAATTTGAAAAAATCATCATCTACTAATTATTTAATTTATATCCAGGGATGTCCATAGATGATAAGTTCAATAGCTATTCTATATATTTATTATGCTCTTAACCGTACGCTATATTTTTTATTCTAATTATTATTACTATTATTTAAATATTTATTTTGTATTAATATATATCGTGTTTGGTCTATTTGGTAAATGTTGTTTATGTAATGTTTGTTGGTCTTCGAAACCATATTTAACTGAAATTATATCAATACTTTTTGAATTGAACGAAAGAGTATATAGTAGGATTAAATTAATTTTGTCTTTTATAATTTTAAGTACCAATTTACTTGGAATCACTATAGTTAATTGAAATATTAATATTATTTTATTTTTTATTAAATGGCGTATTTTTGATTAGTTGTATTAAAATCAAGAGTAGTATCTAAATACTTAAGAGCAGTGGTTCTCAAACTGTGCTCCGTGGAACCCTACGGCTCCGCGGGAGAAGTCTAGGGGCTCCATGGGCATATATTAATTATCTAAATTTCTTAGTTATTGAGGAAAACACTGGTAACCTGAATTGCGCAACAAGTTATACGTTTTTGTGACACCAATTTTATTTACAACTAAGACTTCTGATAAAATTTGGTTATTATAACTTCATAACTTGGTTGGTATTATCACAAAATTAAATGAAGTAAATTTATCAATACAACGTAAAATGACTAATGTTTTCACAGCGAATGACAAAATCCGAACTTTAATAAAAATGAAATTTTGAACTGTGTGTTTTCCTTAATATAAAATATTAATAATTATTGTTGTTTTGAATATAAATTCCTGATTTTCGGGGCTCCGTAATTTTTTTTGAAAACATATGGGCTCCGCGGACAAAAGAGTTTGAGAATCACTACTTAAGAAAGTAAAGTTTCATATAGGATTTGTACACCCCGTATTTGATGTAATGATATCACCGATTATTATTATAAAAATTATAATTTGTCTCTTGAATTTAATTATAAATAATTATGAATTTTTTTTACAAGCCATACCAAAAAAAGCATATAAATGTGCTAAAATATATAAAAATATAAAAATTCTAACTGAAACAATTTTGGCGAAATTAAACGGTACAGTTAAAAACAATATTTCTTTCGAAATAAAAATACTCGAGAATTGGGCCTAGTAAACAACATGATTCCGGTTATTCATAGGAATATAGGTGTTCGGAATCTGAGGGAAAAGGATTATAAGTTCACTGTCCGATAGGTAAACTAAACATCGCACGCACATTGTATTTTTATAGTTTTACGATAGTACTAGGATTACGTAAATGATACGTCCGAAACGGTATTTTTTCGATTCACTGGTAATATTGTTGTTTTAATGATTTTCGTGTACCTCGTTCATGGCCTAAGTTTCCACGAGACCACCGTAACGCGTGCAGACCATATATTATTACATAGTCATGATAATAATAATATTGTATAGTCGCTTCTCGCCCACCAGATCCACCGATGTTATAATGTTATTGATGTGTTCATATTTTTTATGTGCCACTGCCACTTCGTCGTTATAATAATGCAGTGACACAGGGACGGAGAACTGTGTTTGGATCAATTAAAAAATGAATCTGGCCGCGACCTCAGGCAATTGGAGTCAATTAGCACGTATAGCAGAGCTCGTACATTGTGTAAAATGTATATCGTAAATACAAAATATAACATAGTTTACGACGCATTTTTCATATTACATTACTATGACCGTTAACGTACACGTAACACTTAAACAGTTCGTACATTTCGTCATGTATGGTAATATTATTACTTATTTCATTTATTCGCGTCACTTTTTATTTCCCATAGATTAGAAAAAAAAAGTTTTTACCGTATTTCAAGAAAATTTACGTTTTCGTGTTTCATGTTTTCTCACGCGAATTTTCTAAATAAGAGGGCTATTATGTTAATTCGTGCACCCCGCGTACAATAAAAAAAAACCAAACAACCGACTTAATTTAATAAATATATTTAAAAAAAAACGAATCGATAGTAATTTTCTGGTGATGATGGGCAATGATGGGAGAAAGAGCGAAATCGTCACCTCTATAAAATTATCCCTCATCCCCACGATCAAGCCACTGACTATTATTACTTATTGTTTTCCTTATAAATACGGTATAGAATAGTAATTGTTGTGAACGTACATTATTAATGGAACTTATGATGTGCGAATATAAAATAATTATTATTTTTGTCCGACATTATATTAATGAAAATTCTCAACAATCATAGTGAATCTACGAAAGCAGTGTCGTCACTCAGAAAGTGATTTTACTACACACGTGACACACACTCATGTTGGTGTATGTTTACGTATAGTGAAATTGTATCAGGGTGTCTGAGAACTTGTACACGTGTCGCAATAATGTATTAATATTAATTACATTATGTAGACAGGATCTCCGTGTAATATACTGGAAGATTGCTGCATTTTTCCACGGGCAAAGCGTCAGTCGTAGAAGAGACATCGTGATTATGAAGGGTATCGATTGAACGTAATGATAAATGTATCGGTGTCTATCCTTCGGGGGTGAGAGTGTAACAATAGCGTAATAATGCGGGTAACAATAGTTATTATAAAAATAACGGTGTACATTATGTGCGTATGATTCATGTAATGTTTCGTCCACATGTTACCACAATAATATTTTAATTGCCACTTCCTGCTGTAAAGGGTGTAATTTTGCAAACGTGTATGTGTTATTGAAAAAAGCTACATACAATTTATATTCACTAATTGTATTCCCGAACGGTATTGTTGTGCCCCAAATGTACATAAAAATTGTAGGCTCGTTAAAATTAAAATATATATGTATATTGTATATATTGTACATCAGGCCGTATGTGGCAATGATCGATATTAGAATTAAGTCCGTTGCGATTTTAAATTTATATGCCTAAAGAATTATTACAAAATATTATGATGTACATTTATCCGTATACATACCTAATTTTACAAGGAAAGAGTGCATTTATTCAATTAATTATTTTGTAGATGCATGCATGCATCTTGTACGATTATGCTTATTTGATATAAGATGTAATATTAAATCAATAAAATATCATAAGCATACTAATGAATATTATGAATTGTTGGTTTTTAGCCGTAATGTACGTACTAATTACAATATTCACTAAGTTCGTGACTTCATTGTATTTCTTAAAAACTACTGTATACCTTCAGAAGTATACCGACTACACGATTGATTGATGAGTATTAGAAAGAACAAATTAATACTCGTAAGTGTATTTCGTTTACAAAATATTACTTGTTCAAACGGCCGATAATAAAATATACAAAAAGCTCATCATAATACATGCGCACGTATAGTGTACTCTTGTATAACATATGGCTATTACTTACTGTCCTATTCATAAAATCGGTACTGGTATAAATATAAAACAGTAAAAATAATTTATACTGTGCGTTAGTGAAAGAAGATAGGTTTCTAATAATTTTTCTATTTAAAACAATTATTGTCCAATTAAGTTTTATTATTATTTTTTTTTTTACATCCTATACATATTATTATATTATTATACTAAATGTTGTCAATTTAATTTCATGAAATTATATCTACCAGTAATATAGGTATAATTGTATTGGTATTGTATTAAGTATATTATTGTGTTTTATAAATTTATACATGTGAATAAATTTGCATAAATTCACACAAATCATTTTTCCATTTCCTTACAACAGTATAGGGTGATCGTTAATAAAAATTTAAAAACTAGTCTATTGAGATCATGGTCTAATAATAGCTTGTTGTGCAATATTTAATTTCAGAATATTTTATTCTACAGTCATATCAGTTTGATTCTATAAGATTGCGTAGTACGATATTTATGTATAATATTGTATACTTACTATTATTATTTTTTCCGATACGTTTTTGTATGACTGACTTTAAACTTAAATATATATTAAATAGAAACTTAAAAATAATTATATTTCCGTAGCTGGCGTACATAACTTATAGATCTGAATTCACGAACTGTAAAATACTTACCTAAATCTTAAAAATTAAAAAATGACATTAGTTAGTTTATTGTATTAATTAATTTAAAAATAATTTTGTAATTTTTTTGTAATTGTATAATCACTTTAAAATTAAACAATTATACAATTATAGATTTATAGATGATCAATATAATTGTTAATAAATCGCATTGAGTTATTCTTTATCAATAATTAGGTATTAGGTATGTATTAAATTAACTAATACATCTTTATTTCTAACCATGATGTAGCAATACGTAAGTTCCTACAGTGATATTTATCCACAATTTTTATTTTTATACGCGATAAATATTATTTTAAAATATGTGGTAATAATGGTCTAGTGATGAATTGACCTTGTTTTATAGAAAATTAACGCAATTCAAAATACATAAAATCATGCTCCGTATAATTAAACTTGCATTTATATTACGCTTGAATCGTTTGGTACTGCGTGAACTTGTTTAATGATTGGAAACGTTTGATTTGCTGTTTCAGTTATATTTTCCGAGGACACATATCCAGCTACCATCGTGGAGTCTTCGACGGGCAGGAGCCATTCGTTGCCGTCTCCGCCGATCCAATGGCCGTTATCCCGCGGGAAACTCGGTAAGTCGAACAATTACGATCAGTCACTAAAAAAAAAAAACGCTTTTCTGTACATCCAGCGACCGAAACGCTTTAAACGTACGTAATCGTAGACAGGTTCGTAAACCAAAAAAATATTTTGGAAGGTTTTAAGTTGTACATAATATCGTACTCATATATAATCTATATGCCAGTATTACTCCATAAAAATGTATTCGATCGTTTTCCCGAATTTCGCAGGGGGTTTGAACTTCTAAGACCCCCTTTGCGCGCGCGTTTGATCGTAGACGGGGCGGACCAATGCGGATGCGGGAACGTCGCATGAAACGCATACTCGTAACGTGGTGTAACACGTACCATGGTATGTATGCACCTGTGAAACCGTGTACCGTGGTAGTCGAACGACGTTGGTCGGAAGGGAAACGTATTGTGTAAATCAAAAGCCGACTGGCATCAGCTTACTGCTTCCAACGCAATGTCGTATTATCATGAAACATAATGTGCGCGGAACGCAATGTTGTTCTTGATCGTTGTGAACCGCGTTTCTATGTACGCGTGTGCGTCGGCCGATATAACCCGGTGCCAATGTCCGGAAAACGTATATATTATTATTGTTGCTGTTATTAGTGATGAGAATAATCGGATGATTTCAATAATCAAATGGTTGAGTAATCGAAAAAAAAAATTATCGAATGATTAGTAGTCGAAAACAAAATAAACGAATGATTAGTAAACGAAATCAAAATAATCGAATGAGCGTGAAAGTGAAATGCATTTTCAATCCAAATATTCATACGTATTAAACTGATTATAGTGTGGCGATTACCGATTACCGGGAATTATACCAATGATTAAAAATAATATAAATAATAATACAATATTGACAGTCGACTTCTTATGAGAAAAGTACTTATACTTCTTATAATTTAGTACCCAATGGCAATGAGTAAAACGCGCAATTCTTTTGAATAATTCAATTACTTTGCTTTTGATAAATATGTCTGGTACCATTATTTGAATTATTAAAATCATTCAATTATATCCATCACTAAATGTTATTGCTGTTATTACTATTATTTATATTATTATTGTATCGATGCGCAAGCGATGAAACAAAAAACAATACGCCGCGGTATTTCGTAGCGGATCATTAATCGAAATAATGAAATCTATGCGACTGCTGGCGGACATCGCACCGCTTCTACTCCTCGACATCACGCCATCAATGCGCGGGGCGGGGTGTTGCGTTTCGCTTGATCGTTCATTCATAAAAAAAAAAAAAAAAACAACCGTAAATTCATACACGGTTTTCGATTAACACAATAATAATACCATATATTCCCGTTATCGTTTTTATTGTTTTCAACGATGTTGATGGTGCTGAAGATGATCGTGATTGTGTTCATCATCATCATCGTGCGGTCGGCGTGTTTTCTTGTTGCGGAGAAAAGAGAAGTAAAAAAAAAAAAATTAAAAAAAATATTTTGTTATCTGTATACCTAGTCCTTGGTCACGCCCGTAAAATTATATTATCTACAAGTCTTTATACAGATTACATTTCACAAGTAGGTATACTGCGTACAATAATGTTTAGGCGATCGTTCGAGGCGCAATAATACAACATTGAATCCGATCAGATATCGTCAATAATTCATTATGTTGCGATGCCGTAATATTATTAGTTACACAATGCTCGCGAATTGAAAAAAATTTAAATAACATTGCGTATCGGCGTATTTTTTTAAAAATGTATTTCTTATTTGTCCATGTTTTATTTATTTTTTCATCATTATATACCCCCTTCGTTTCTCGCTCTTGTAATGCGTAAGGTTTTTAACGCACTTCACGTTTCAACACGTTATTTAATACTACCCGTATATGTTTAAATCGATTTGTTTTTACGAAAGGTACAGTTTCCGCACTATAAAATGTCAATAGCTTATTAATCGCAGCGATGAGATCCGTTCTGGTTAGTTATTTTGGTATTATTTGATATTTATTTGTTGTCGAATGCATATATACGCAGTTTAATGTTTGGACCATTTCCGTAATATTAATATATTATAAATACATCGAAACATAAACAAAATTATTTATAGTTTCTGAAGTGCAAAAAGAAAACGCCTGTTGTTGTTGTTATTAGTTTAGTCGAACATGCGAAAATTATACGGTAAAACTGGCGTTGCCTATAAATGTATAAAGTACTCGTTAAAATATTTTAGTTGGACGTAGGTAGCCTGATTAATTTTTGAACGGCTCAACAATTTAAATAAAAATAAAATACCAGTTGTGTTAGTAGACACAAATTATAATCTCGTTAAAAAAAAAAAAAAACAATACTTGAATGGAAGGTTTCGTAAAAAAAATACAAAAACACGTTGTTTTATGCATTAGAAATCGTTTAATGGATATGTGGATATAGTAAAGTCACATATTTAAAAAAAATTGATTTGAATAAACACATCCAATAAGAAAAATGTAAATTTTCATTAATTCAATATTTCAATGTCGCACTTTTTGTCCGTCTAGGAATTTAAAATATAATATTATACAATTAGTATTTTAATTAGAGTATACATAATTCTTATTTTACTTATCACATGGCCGAAATGTAGTGTTAGTTGTAGTGTTTATTTAAATTAATTATTCTGATATTATTAAATTGTTTTCTTTGTACATTCTCATTCTTTCTGATTAAACTGATTTATTTGTGATTAATATCAATTTTAAAAGTTTAAAACATTACCAGTTTGAAATTGCATCGTCCAATAACGTATCCATCTTTTTTTTTTTTTATGTAGCTTTTTGTAATTTATTTAACTAAGTGTAATTCGTTTAGTTAATAATCTTAACTATTATGGCATAATCATTCGCTTTTTGGAAACAACGATTTAAATAATAGAACTTTAAGATAAAAATAGACAAATTAAACAGTTATTCAGACTTTAGACAGGTGTTTACCTTTAGATTTGTACACTGTCCAAGCTGAAGACAAATTTTCGTATGTAATAAATTAAGCATAGTTCATAGTTAGTGAGAGGATGCAAAATTATTAAAGCCAAAAAATAGATGACGTAATTTCTGATCGAATCTAGTCTTGCGCTATACGCTTTGGTATTTGGCACTATGAATGCGACAGCGTTTTCTGCCTCTTAAAAATAAAAATATCAAATTTTTGTTTTTACATTTTTAATGAAGAGTAAAGAGGTGCCTCGGTGGAACTGTCTTGCGTAGGATATCACAATAGTCAAATATTTCGCCCGTGTATGTTGTTGTTTTTTTTTTTGTTTTTGGAACGGTATGTCACCTAAGATATTTTAAGCACTAATCTAACTTGTTAATATAAAAATGTTGACTGTGGCTTTGAGAACGAATTGATTTCGACGTGTACGTCATGGTTAAAGTTGAACTTTCTCTCTGACGTTGAAATGTTGATTTACGCCTGTGTATAGTATTTATGTAGGTATATAAGCGCGTAAAAAACGTTCGAATGAACCACGATTCGACGCGAGTAAACAATATTTATTATACTCTTCGCGTGTTCCGTTGACGGAGAGATAGAATCGCGCAACATAATAATATTATGATTTTTTGTACCGTCCAACAATATTCGTGTTTTATTTATTTTCGTCTTTGATTAGCAATGTCGTCACGATATTTCGTAGTCGTGGAGACTACGTCGTACCGACAACCGTCGTACACGTTCACGAAGACAACCCCAAACGTTATCGAAACACCGACAACGATGAAAGATTTTTCAAAAACGTTTGTGCAGTATCTCCGTAAGAGCTTTGCGAGCTCGGCTTTTTCACCGAACCGTACACTCGTGCGTGCGTGCGTGCGAGATTTAGCTGTACGGCGGCGGACCGTTCGTCGTGTAACCCTTTCCCACCCGCTCACCTGTCCGGTCCATACGTTCTCGCGTTTTAACGTGCGCGTTACACACACACACACACACACACACACATACGCTCGCCGCTGCCACCGCCGCCTTCAACGACGCCGTTCGCCGCCTAGTTCGACTTCGGAATCGGTTCAGTTTGTTACCGACGGTCGAACGTTAAACATTATTTGTCGGTCACGCGCTCTGTTCTGTCTATTATTTTTTTTTTCGCCTCACTCTCTCTCTCTCTCTCTCTCTCTCTCGTTCTGGCGTCCTTTAAACCATTTCCGTTAGATTTTCTTTTCGGCTACGACCGACGATCGTCGATATTTTCGTAATAACGTTTCGTTGTCGAATATTTGTGCGTTTTTATACTCCACGGTATCGCGTTTTTCTACATTTTATTTTCCATCTCGTATTTGATGTCACACGCGATCCGCAACAATCGTTGTTCGTTCCCGGGCAGCATATTGTTACGACGACGACGAAGACCCGGCCGTCAGGTCGCTGAAATATACCGCACTGATATGTATTAGTGTATCATCTCATGCACGAAAAATAAACGAGAAAAATCGTTTTCGTCGCAGACGTTATATGACCGGTTTAATCGAATCATGCACACGTTCCGGTTGCCGGAGTTCCTGAAATGCGTCAAGAATTATCTGAACAAAAAAGGTAAATACCGTTTCACGCGGACGTCTCGAACCCCAGCTCGGTAAAACGCCCCGGACCAATGTGCGTACATTGTACCGCGGTAGAACACACTAGGCACACGTAAAATATTAATGTTAACGGTGCGTTTAACTGTGATCGGGCGTAATGATTAGTGGATCGATTGTACTCTATCGAAGAAAATTCATTGCGCGCGATAGTCACAAATGTGAAACGCGCAGCGCAGCGTTGACCGGGTTGTATAATAAGATTCTCGAAAACGATTAAATAGTACTACTCTACTGCACAGGAAAGTAAAAAGTTCTCTTGTTCGCCGTTGCGTCCGAACGACGGTCGGTGGAGTATTTCCGTCGTCGTCGTCGCCGCCGCAGCGGTAAATAACGCGTTCACGGTGATAATTATAATAACGACCAATGTGCTGTACGTACACCTCTTCTCGTCGTGTATTATTATAAACGTTTTTGAT